TGAATATATTTAGGTTTTTGCTTGTTGATTGGAAAAGACATTTGAAGATGTCAGCTTGTTTCACTACTGTCAAACATTTCAGAGATCAAAGGTTAAATTAGAAAATAAAACAGCACAGCACAGCACACCACACCACATAATTGTGATGGTCTGTTGTAGCATATTTCATGGGGAGAATCTATAAATAAGCCTCTGAGGAAGCGTGTAAAGACTAACCCACAGAGAAGATCAGGCAGCGGGCCTGCATTCAAACAGGAAACACCAATCATCAGACAACTTATCAAAATACGACAGCTTGCTGAGTTTGCCAGTGAAGGAGGGAACCTCCCATCCCACATGTTGATGATAATTAGACTCATATCTGCACAGAGCTGAGCAGTTCTGCCACCCCAGGCACTACAGCTATGCACTCTACATTACTCCGCGTCTTCTGAATGCTTAAGCTTACCCCTGGTTATCCAATCATTTCTAAACTTGAATATCATATGGGACATTTGACTATCTGGGCTTGAAACAGTCAGTAGGCAAAATTGCAGTAAATATTTGGATATTTTGATTCTTTATTTAAGTAAAAGTAAAAATACTGTAACAGAAATAATAAAATACTAAAAGTCCTTTAGTACATAAATATTATCATCCTTTCAAGAGTGTTACATTATTATTGTTTATATAGCATATCATTTTATAATAATAATAAAATGTATTTATATTTATAAGCATCTATCAAATCCTGAGATAACAAAGTGATTTAAATTGAAAACAATAAAAGAAAAAAATGCACAAAGTCATAAATGAGAAAAGTAAACTGTAAAAACTTTGATTCTTACATATTGAACATGCATTACATACATATATACATATACCAAATTAAATAAGGTTATCAGAAGCAGTTTCAATGAGAATTCTGATTTGAACTAATGTAATTTGGATACTGCAGGGTAGTTTGAATCTTACTTTATAAGCTGATGTTTTGCATGAACAATCTTAATTGGTAGAGTAACATGTGACATGAGTTCTGAAAAGCTTTCTAAACAGAAAAATAAATAAATTAAATTAATTAAAAAATAGACTCAAAAGCTCTCAACCCTGGTTACAGTTGAAGATTGTGTTGCTAGTAGCAACCCCTGCTGGCACAGCTCCATGGCAGTTAAAGTTCAGTGCAGATGTTGATTTAATTGTTCTGCAATCAGATGACTGCTAACCAAGCTACTATAACCACTATAGTAACCCTAGCTGTGAGGCTGAAGTGCGAATAGTCAGCGGTGGAACTAAGTAGGTTACATTTACTTAAGTGCTGTAACTATATTTAAAGGACCAGTGTTCAGTAGCATCTACTGGTGAAGTTGCAGGTTGCAGCCATTGAATACAGCACAGGCTTCCATGCATGTAAGAGAAACTGGGGCCTTGAAACCATCCAAAAATGCTATTTGATTTGAAATAACAATTACTGAATTTGTTGTTTTTACCCAATTGTTTCAAAGTTGTTTTCAATAAAGACTTCATAAGCCCACTGCTGCCTTCAAATTTTATTGGAAGTGTTTAGCTTGGATCATAGCTGTGATCTTACATGCATAAGGGCAGAAGAAGTAGCATAACATGTAAGAGTAAAATACCAGCACCTCAAAATTGCATCTAATTACTACTGTAACAGTTAACCCCAAGTTTAAACAAAACCAAAACAGTGGTACAGCTGTACGCCACTGGACTCATTGTGGTTGCTTCCAGTGATGTTGTATGTTGCAGGGCCCTATTATCAAATCATGTTGTGTTGTTTGACAGCATGCGGTTAAATGTGGTCAAATTTAGAGAAGGTGAATGGTAGCTAGAGGAGGAGGTTGAGACCTATAAATGAACAGGAGACCACCAAACTCCCTTAACTGGATACATTTTGATCACACGCCCTAAGATTCGTGCACTTTACCTTGAAAATCAAATATATAGCATTTGAACAATGTACATATTTTATTTGACATGTTACATGAAAAGTATTTGTGATTATGCGATTAATTTTGTTTTTAAAAAGTGACACTTCCCATCAAATGTAAAGATTATTTTTAGAACTACAACATTAAAATGCTGTTTACACATTAACACAAACGTAATAACAATCAAAAGAGATAAAATACAATAATATAACATTGACCAAGGCCATTCACTTTATAGTGAAGGAGGAGACAGGAAAACTTTTGAAATGAACAAACTTTGCACATTCATAGATTCTAAAGGTAGAAGGAGCAGATGCCTGTTTATGGATTTTAATGTGGAAATTATACTTTTTTGCAGAAAAAAAACACATTATTGTTCCAAGAAGACTATTTGTAGCTATATATGCCTTAATGCATGATAATAATCGGAGGACTTGTGCACTGTAAAACCATATAAATTCATTTAAATCCAAAAATTGTTGAAACTGATTACATCATAATTCTAATGGAACACAAACTCAGTTTTTTGGGTAAAAAAGATTATTGATTAAGTCACTTTTACTTACAAATATAGGTGGCACTAACTTGAGTTTGAAGTTTATTTAAAAGGGACAATGCACTTGCAAAACTTAGTTTTTTAAGTTACAGAAACATTCCTCATGAATAACTTTTTACTAGGTATTTTGTTTTCACAGTACAAATAAAATTTAAGTCACTGTCACTTAAAATTACTAAAGCTACTTGATCAAGAATGTTTTTAGCTTACATTTTTTTTTTAGTTACATGAATTTATCTAGTTTTACAGTGTGATTTGCAATTTCTGAGCAATTTAAACAAACTTTTCACCACTGTTTCTGCCCCAATATGTAATGTTTTTGTAATGGATTTATAATTTAAAAACTTGTATTAAGTTATATTTCAATATTGTCTATTTTTTCTGCCAAATCCTTCTTCTTTGTCACATATAATAAACTGTAATGCACAGAATCATATAGTGGAGCTAATAAAAAGTGTAATTAATAGGATTAAAGTTAAATTACTTAAAAAAAACAACATGCCTGCTGAATACTAAAATGTAAGACTCATAATTGAATCAGTCTATTGTTCTTTGCACCATATTAACACACCTGAAGGTGCAAGCTGCATTAGCAACAAAGTACAAAGTATACTTCTAGTCTTCTAGTCAAGTCAGCAAAAGAGTATCCAAATGTCAGCCCATATCTGTTCAATGCAATCGGGATGTTTAAAAAAAAACAAAAAAAAAACGCGCCAGCAAGTCAAGTTTGGTATCTCCACACAGACATCTCTGGCCAATCCCAGTGCTAACCATGCCGTGAGCATGCAGCTGAGGGTTGGCGGTGGTGGTGGTGGTGGTAGGGGGGGATAGAGAGAGACAGAGAGCAGCCGAGTCCGAAACAGAAGTGACCGCTAGCTTCATGTCAACTATACAGACATTACTGAACTAGCAACTAGCGGAAATCTCTCCCAGAGAAGAAGGAGAGGGAAGAGAGAGAGAGAGAGAGAGAGGAGAGTGAGGGGGGGGCCAGGCTGGAAGGGACACTGGACTTTTATTTCGTTTTGAACCGACTTGAATATTCACGCCGATTTTTGAGGTTCACCTATTTTTTAAAGGAGCTCGGGAATCATCGGCTGTAGGAAGGTTAGCTAGCCACCGCCATCTCTTCTCAGTCGGAGCGACCAGCCGTGTCTTCCACACCATGGGGAACGCTGCCACCGCCAAGAAGGGCAACGAGCTAGAGAGCGGTGAGTCCGGGGTGGTTTGTTTTGCCCTCATTTTGGTGTTTTATGTTGTATTTATTTTTATTTTTTTACTTAGCCTCAACGTAGATAGCTAGCCTGTTCATAACACCTAAAGTGTCCTAACTGGGAGCTACAGTAAAGCAGGGGAGGGCCGTCCGTCCGTCCATCCCCCCGCACGGTTATCCCACCAGAGCTGCACATAACTCGTTGACGATTAATGGCAATGCAGGGAAATTGCTTGTTGGGATTTGCACGTAAAATGAGTGTTGTGTTTTTTTTAAAAAAGAGGCCTAGCTAAGTTAGCTAGTAGGAAGAAGACCCCGTGGATGTTGTGGTTTTCTTGGCTTGCAAGGGGGTGGGGGAAATGGCAGCAGTGTTTAAAACAACCTACGGTATAGTAAAAGACAGAGCCGCGATATGCAATGCTTGTCGATAAAATCCCCACATATTAGTGACTTTCACACGTTTAAAAGGGGCTGTTTGCATGCCTGTTGGAGCACAAGAAGGATCAAGCTTGATGACCAGCTAGCCTGCTAACTTTAGCTTTGAAGGTGGTGGTGGTGGTGGTGGTGGTGAGGGGGGGGATTAGCCCTCAGAAGGCCCCTGTCATTTCATTGCCTCTTGATGGTGGTAGCTGCTCAGGCCTGCACACATATACACAGTTAGCCGTGGCGTGCAGTCGCTCCCCAGCTAAAGCCTTAGATAATGGCTAAAAAGTCTTCAGGTTTAGCATCGTCTCCTCCTGTGGTGTCATCCTTTAACCTGGGCGAACAACAATTTAGGATGTGGTCCTAGCGTTGTGTTTAGCTGCAGCCTCAGTCAGCACAGCTAGCACGTATTCAGACAGGAACTTGGCACTGGTGATCATAAATTTGCAGCAATAAGCCACAAACCCATGAGTAATTGTTATAAATAGCCAATACATTTTACTAGAAGGCAGTGTGGGACTGTTCTGCCTCGGGATTCACTGCTACATTTTATTCTTGGCTACATAAACAAAGCTTTCCCTCTGTGCAGCACCCTGACCAAATATGGTGAAGAAATGACAAATGCCTTCTTTCCATTCATAAAACTGGGGATCTACTACTGTCTTCCCGGCATATGCACACACACACACACACACTCACACACACACACACTCACAAAAACACACTTGAATTGTGTCCCCTGTGTTTATTTAGAGCCCCTTTTCTAATCTTGCTGTGGTAAAGGTCCATCAAGCCTCACTTCTCACACTCAGCTCGTCATTGACTGGAGCAGCTTGTCATCAGACCTTCGTCAGAGGATAAGGGGTATTACAAGCTTTGAAAGGTTTGACGTAACTAGGCCTAGGCCAGTGTTACTTTGCGCTCGTATACTTTGATGTGTGCAGCTTGTCATCATCTAGCATCCCCTGTGATAAATCATAAATGTTTCCCTATGCCTGGTTGTAAACATACAAGCCGTAGGTGTGTATTATTTCTTGCAGAACTAATTTCATTGGGATGGCCTCAAATCAGTCACTCCGACTCTGACATTGTCGACCACTGTCATGATTTTTATAATCTTCAAAACATGCCCGAGAACCACGCACCTAGTTTGTTTAAAGTAGCGTCACTTTACAATGCAGTGAATACGTTCCTCTGAGATTTATTGACTTGTTGATAGAGACCAGGCAGGCACAGTGAACAGTGCCAACCAGAGGCACTCAGACAGACAGAGATGATCAGATCAGCAATAGTTACCATACTGCCAAGCATTTCTTTTGAGTGTAACTATGATCCCTAGATCCTGCGGCGTGGCTAACTGTTAAACCTGTTTAAGCTGACACTGTGCCCTGAGCGTCAGATTAGCCTGGAGTGTAGCCGCTCTGACAAGACGACCTGGTTAACTTACCTACAGTGCTGTATATAAACTAGAGTACCTGTGTTTACTGTATAAAGCTGCCACTAGCTGGAACAGTTGCAACAGCCAACACAGTCACACTTGTACAGGGAGATTAAACAGCTGCCATCATCACACCTATTTTATTTCACTCCGCTCGTGTATTGTGTTACACACTCTGTAATGTAACAGGACAGAGACATAACTGAACCATGTTATGCTTGTCTGGATTTGGCATTGCTGTCAGAAAGGATTGGCCCACTGTTCTGGCTTTGGACCGTTTGATTTGTTCCTCTATGTACAAAATGTTGGAGAGACTTTGTGCGTCCAAAAGGACCTCATAATATCTGACGTTTTTTTAAATTTCTGCGATTGGATGGGGGATGTTTAGTCCTTGTGGGTGTTATGTTGTTCTACGGCAACTTAGTTGGTCATCAGAAAATTAATCAACAACTTGGATAATTGATTAATTGTTTAAGTCATATTCACTTTTCTTTGGTTTACATCATTGTTTTTGGTTGGTCGGACATCATCATCTTGGGCTCCGTACGTCATCTGAAATGAAATAAATGTCAGGTTAATCAATAACTAAACTAAGTCCTACATGAAACAAAGAAAAGCAGCAAATCCTGACAAAGGAGGGGCAGAAACTAGGAAATGTTTGGCTTTTTTGCTTGAAAATGAACTCTGACAATTAAGAGATTATCAAAACACCTTTTCTGTCGTCTACGAATAGTTTCAGCTCTATTCATTATACTTTCAAAGCTATTACAGGGAGAGAAATTGTCAGACATGTCACAAAAGTCTATGGCTACAGTAGGTTTTGGAGGTTTTGTTCCCTAGTATCTTATCAATCTGACCTAATATGCACGACTGAATTTCTGCTACATGGCATTTTGGTACACCTGTTCTTCGAATACCACAGTAGACACCCAGTCTCTGTTTAAATTCCTCAGGTGAATGTCAACTCTGTTTTCATTCCTGTTGCTTCTATTCACTGCATATGCGTCATGTTTGTTGATGTGTTACACCTGTTTTTATGTACATGAACTCTATATTTCTCTCTGTCTTCTCTTCCGTATCATCACCATCCATGTGGGTGATTGTTCCTGCAAAACCTTGGTGATCAATAGAGACTTTTGGTATGCTCATTCCTCCAAAAGACGACCAGAATGGCAGAACGGCATTGGTCTCATTGTGACGACTTGCTTGATGTGCTTGCTTTGATTGTGTGCTTTAATAATAAGTCAGTGTTTTTGTTATCCACATTCTCTCAATCTGGATTTTCCATACATTGGTTTGTCTTTGCTTACCATTTTTATGCTGTGTTTAATAGCCTTCCCCCAAAGTGATGCACAAGATGCTCAGATAAACCTCCCCTGTAATCCTAAGTGTTGTGTTCCCCCCTCCCTTTTGAATAAGGCTACTAAATAACACAACAAATATACTGAGTGTCTTGGCATGCATCACTAGTCTGCCTGTCTTGAATGTCGTTGTCTTGTGTTTGTGTTCTTTGTTCTTTGGAACAAAGTATGTGATATTTTTAGTATCCCATTTAATGTATATCCAGATGAGAGTTGACTTTTGCCCTGTTTCTTCTTCGTTGGTTTACTTTCCCCATGTAGTATAATAGAATTTGGTCTTTTTGCCAGTTTAATCTAAAACCCCACATGTGTGCTTTTATGCCAGTAATTTACTTAATGTCACCGAACAATAGCTGTGCACTAACAGTTTCTGTGTTTGCGCTTTTTTTAGTGAAAGAGTTTCTAGCCAAAGCCAAAGAAGATTTCTTACGGAAATGGGAATGCCCACCACAGGTAAGAATGATTTAAAAACTTTTTTAAATCATCATTCTGTATTTTTAGTAGCTGAATGCACAGAATAGGCCTGACACGCTGTCATTTTCACAGAGCACAACGTGCCTAGATGACTTTGAGAGATTAAAGACCCTGGGTACCGGCTCATTTGGAAGAGTCATGCTGGTGAAACACAAAGGAACAGAGCAATACTTTGCCATGAAAATACTGGACAAGCAGAAGGTCAGTGGAAGCGTGTATTAAGCCTCATGGAACATTTCCAAATAAATAATAGTGTAGACATGTGCCGTAAATGTGCAGTAATACAAATATATTCTTATCTCCTTTTAAAAAAAATGAAGTTAAAACTTGTTACTAGGTGACACAAGTAAAATAAATAAATGGTTGACTAAAAGCTGCCTTTCCTGTGTGTGTTATCTCTGCTGCTAGAGTAAGTGAGATTTACCCGACAAGGTCATCTTATCTCTTTTCATCTGTCAGGTGGTGAAACTCAAGCAAATAGAACACACATTAAACGAGAAGAGGATATTACAGGCTGTGAGCTTCCCCTTTCTCGTCAAACTTGAGTATGCGTTTAAGGTACAGTGGGCTTTCTTTTTTTTTTTTTTACATTTATTTAAATTTAGGGTCAGAAATTCCTTTATTCACTGTTGAACATGGTGTAAGTGTCTTTTTTACTTCTCTTAGGACAACTCCAATTTGTACATGGTGATGGAGTACGTTCCAGGAGGAGAGATGTTCTCACACCTAAGACGAATTGGAAGGTTCAGGTGAATGTTTTAACTATTTTCTGCTGTGTCTTATAACATACAGTTCTTGAGATTGTTTTCAACACACTTCTTTTCCTCCTCCTCCTCCTCCTCCCCCTACAGTGAACCACATGCACGGTTTTATGCCGCCCAGATAGTGCTGACATTTGAGTACCTCCATTCACTAGATCTCATATACAGAGATCTGAAACCCGAGAACCTTCTCATTGACCACCACGGCTACATTCAGGTGAGCTACACCGCAACAAATGAATAAGTAATGCGGCTGTCTTGTAAGTCCACACTTTGGCCCATGTACGGGGTGTGTGTGTGTGTGTGTGTGTGTGTGTGTGTGTGTGTGTGTGTGTGTGTGTGTGTGTGTGTGTGTGTGTGTGTGTGTGTGTGTGTGTGTGTATATGTATATGTATATGTATATATATATATATATATATATGTGTGTTCTTATTTCTAGGTGACAGACTTTGGATTTGCCAAGCGGGTAAAAGGCAGGACTTGGACGTTGTGTGGGACACCGGAGTACCTGGCGCCAGAAATCATCCTCAGCAAAGTACGGAGTTACTATATTTTTATGTCTGAACAGATACTTTGAATGCCAAATGTCACATTGTTTTCTCTCCTTTCTCTGTACTCCACCTAAAGTCCAGTAAAATAGTGTCGAAATCACAATGTTGCCAGTGCAATATTCAAATCACAGAAATTGTGTGACAAACGGTATTATAATGAAGTACTGTAGTGCTGCAGAGATACCCTGGCCTTTAAACATGTTTGTTCGGTACAGACCCCAAAAGAATTCACATCATCATGATTTTAATAGTTGATCATTCCCACTAATTGTGAATCATCGCAACATCTGTCCAAATAATCAACTACTTTAAACTCTCGAAACACACTTTTTGTTTTGCTTTGCATTTTTGGGAGTAGATTGTTGTTAATGTTGAGGTTTTTCAGCACAGCTTCAAAAGAGTTTTAAAGCAGAAAAGATGTCAAGCTCATTCAAGAATCCCGATTAAAAGTCAGACTTTTTTGTTTGCCTGCTGAACAATAACAGAGGACAAAATACACTCAACAAGAGGAAGAGATAGTGAGAGACAATTTTTCCTCACTGTCAGTTGCGTCAGAAGACCATAAATGTAATGCAGCAAAAAAAATACATTGCATTATTTTCTATCAACTGGGAAAACTGGTGCACAGCTCTATCTACTGGCAGATATACAGCTGGATAAATAACAAACATATAGGGAACCACTACTACATGAGTATTATATTTTATTTTTTATATATAGGTTGTATATATTTAGTTAGCAATGTTACTCACAAGTTTGTGTTTTTTCATACTGTACATACTGGAGTAAAATGACTGGTGATAAGACTTTAGAACTCCATGAGTAGTAGAAGTTTTGTCCTCTCTGTTATGGTAGTATCTGTCTTGACTCTTTTCAGGGCTATAACAAAGCTGTGGACTGGTGGGCCCTCGGAGTCCTTATCTACGAAATGGCAGCTGGCTACCCTCCCTTCTTTGCAGATCAGCCTATTCAGATCTACGAGAAGATCGTGTCTGGGAAGGTAAGCAGATGTTTGTCTTTAAATATTTTTACGTGAAAGTTGGAATGTGCCTCTCCTACCTGTTGTTTGAGAATCAGTTATAGGTGTGGATGAACAAAACTCAGCTGGTAGAAAGAAATTCCAAAACGTCTATTTGTTTCTAGGTGCGTTTCCCGTCCCACTTCAGCTCCGACTTGAAGGATCTGTTGAGAAACCTGCTGCAGGTGGATCTGACGAAACGTTACGGCAACCTGAAGAACGGAGTCAACGACATCAAGGGCCACAAATGGTTTGCTACAACAGACTGGATCGCAATCTATGAGAGAAAGGCAAGACACCAATACACATTTTGTAGTGATATCAAACACTGTTCCCGCTTTAAAAACCAAGTTAATTAGATATTGATTTGTTGATATTGATTTTTTTCTTTTTTCTTTTGCTAGTTGTAAAATTCCCAGTTATGATGCTCCACTAGTATTATTTTATACTATTTTGTTTGTACTGTAAGTTGTGTGAGGACTGTTTTATCATTTCTGCTTTATGTTCCGGTGTGATGGTCATTATTTGCAGCTGTATTTTTTGCCTGAATGCAGTCAGAGTTTTTTTTTTTTCCACTTCGAAATCACCCAGCTCCACTGCAGGCTGTGAGCCATCGGCGTCACATGCCATTTTGCAGGATGACGATGATAATGGTGTTCTTCGATTAATCAAAGTAGATATTTAGCTCGGGCTTAAATCTCATTGATCTGTTCATTCTGTTCAACCTTGTTATTATACAATTATACTGTGGGCTTTTTAAACTTTAAACTGGCTCTGTCTTATCGAATGTATCTGTAATTCTATAATTCTTGTTCTGTAATTTGTTATAGGATGTGATTCATTTTATCTCTGCACCGCTTTCAGTGCTGCTTCCCTAATTTAGTGTTGCCCCCATGCTTTAGAGAAGTTACTGGTTGCAAAATAACTGCTTCCATGTGACAAAATTTAGTGGGATTCTGTAGAAAAAGCAGAGATATTTAGTAATATTGTTGTGTCTGTTTTAAGAGTAAATTAGAGTTTAAAAATACATATAAATGTGTATAAAACTCCATATTTATTGTCGGGAGTACTCGCTTTTAGTCACAGGCACTCTTTTAGCCAGCAGCAACACAGTATCCATCTGACCTCGTGTTGGAAACGCAGCTGAGGACGAGGGGAAAAAAACAGACTCCCTGCAGCAACAAAGTTGCTGCGGAGAAATTAAACTCAGTTTAATTATTGTAAGCGTCGTTACATCTTCATAAAAAACTGAAACAGACACGGTGACAGATAACGAACACTACGGAATTAATGTTTAGGAAGGATATGTGCTTAGACCTGGACAGACATGCCATGAGAAAGGCGTCTGAAAGATGACGATATGGATCGATGTTTTCACTTTGCATCGATCGTATTGGATTGATGATCATTAAACCGATCTATTGATGGATTGTTACACCCCTAATGATGAACTTTGAAAAAGGACTTTACGGGCTCGGCCTGCACACAAACACATCCTTGTATGTTTTGGAATCCCACTAAAGCCATATCTTTCTGTATCTTTCCACCAACCCTGACTTTTCTCTGACATGTTTAGTAAATACAGAGCTGAGGGAGGTGGACTGACGACTTTGAAGAAATAGTTCACCAAAGTCATATGTTTGTGTCAGGTCAGGCTTTAGCCTTAAAGAACATTAACATTGCACTGGCTGCATCCTTGAAAACATAGAAACTGTAATGCACACAGAAATGACACTGACACTTGCTCAGTAAATGGTGTAATGTAGCATTTCAGCATGCGTTACCTGGCAAATCAACACATGAAGTAGCTAAGTAGGCCTTATTGTTTTGATAAAAATCGCTGGACCCAGCTCCCCAATCCCAGTGTCGGAAAGGTTTCACACACTGACCATCTAACAAGCACTACCATTTAAAGAATACTGACTCATTTAGCTGTCAGAATTCTGTGTGTTTTAGCATCATTGCCAGTTTCTAGACACCTCCTGACAGTGTGTAAGGTACACTCCTGAAGGATGTTTGAAGTTTCTTTCTTCAGAGAAATAATTGCCTCTCCTTTTCTCTGTTCTGGGTGTTCTTGTGATTGGCAGTGTAGACATAAATCCTCCCTGTTAAATTATGCATTGCTCCCGTTCTTGCAGGTGGAAGCCCCGTTCATACCAAAGTGCAGAGGCCCAGGGGACACCAGCAACTTCGACGACTACGAGGAGGAGGAAATCCGCGTTTCTTTAACGGAAAAATGCGCGAAGGAGTTTGCAGAGTTTTAGGATGCGAGAACATGGATATATCAGGGAAATAAGGGGATCTTTGCACTCTTCTAAAGACTTGGGATGGAGCAGAGACCATCGTTTTTCAGATCTACTACATAGTCCCTTCATTCCATAAGGCTGAATGAGGTCGCCATGATCCTTGGGTGCCGATAACCTCTCACTGTCACGTACACCTGCGTAATAAAGCAGACACACCACTTTTTTCTTTTTCTTTTTTTTTGTACCTACCCACTGGTTTTTTTTTTTTTACTTTGAAGCAGTTAGTCTTGGATGTTGTTATCCCCTTTTAAAATGTGATATTTTTTCAATTTATGAGGAAAAACTGAGACAATGGCCAATAATAGTCCGCACATTGTAACCGACTTGTCTATGGCAGTTTGACACACAGTCACGTGGGTTGTAGACGATTTCCTCTAGTCGTCAGCGGTGTAAATGAATGGTCTGTTACAAGTCCACATCACATTGGCTATTGTAAAATTCTGGCCAGTTTTCAGAGGTAGCATTTGTCCTATGTGCATATCTGTCAGTTTTTGTAAGATATTTGAACACGGTGAGTGTTGAAAGCATGACCAAATAGAAAACATTGGGTGACACAAGAGGAGAGGTCCTTTACTTTCTTTGCTTTTTGCCTAGAGAGCCGAGTCCTCAGACCCCCCACAGAAGCATCCATTCACTGTCTTCTTGGTATTCCGACCCAGGCACAGCAAGCCATCGCAGAAAATGACAAACCTTGTTACATTAGTAAAATGCAAATCGAGTCGTTTGTTTGATTCTTTTGGATCTGTTAGTTACATGTAAAATTTGTCATTTGGTATCTTTACTTTTTTTTGTCGCTGTGTCTAACATTATAGTCATATTGTCCCTAGATTTCAGGTCTGCTTATAAAGACCCTTTCTTATGAGTCTGTGGAACAATGTGACTTCAGTAAATGGAAAAGAGTGAGGTGAAAGCCCTTTTTTAGGGTTTTTATTGAGTGTAATGTTAAGTTGAGAAGGTCGGCGTGAATAGTGTTGCGGCTTTGGGCCTCAGCATTGGTAGTGAAACCCTAAAAAAAGTACAGAATTTGTAATGTATTAAATCAAAGATGTTTTAAAATCTTAAACAGGAAAGCAAAACTGCGTATTTACCACATTGTCCCTGTTACCACCGTGGAACTGATTTATTTGTTTCATTCTTATTGAAGAATGTAGATCTGCAACTTATAGATATTTGAAAGCTTGGTTTCAAGGTACAGTTTTCCTCACAATACACTGGCTAAAATAAAGACTGCTCCTTTGTATCACATGTAACCCTGTTATTGTTAAACTCATTACATCATACGTATATACATTGTTTCATATATGTTTTTATTTATACACATTAGAGATGCTAATAAATTTTATTTTTAAAAGTGTTCTAAGTTGTGTAACTCATGCATGCATTGTGAGACTGACGCAGTCCACTACTTCACAGGTCTGGATGTAACAACATGGTAGTCCAGAGGTTTTATTTAGTTGTTGAAGAGTATTGGATCCTTAGGTTTGCTCCAGGGATCATAATCATTGACAGATTTCCAGGGGTCCCCAGAAAAACACGCATTTACTCGGAGTACTAGGAGTCAACATTTAGCAAAGTGAAAAGAGTTACAGTTACAATTAAATAAATTATTAAATATTGTTGTAACATTATTGTTGAAACAACCAGTGATCCTTGAGCAGGAAGATGCAATGGATATGAAATACATATTAAGAACTTTTAAACCATTTATTAACAAATCCAATATACTGCAATTAACAAAGACTTAGTATATAGTACTTTTTATGACTGACAATAAGTAATTAAATAGGATGAATTAAGAATTCATCCTTACATACAACTCAAAGTAAAAGAGGAGATTAAATTATACCTAAAGAGTAACTTGAGTCCAACAATTGTATACATTTCTTAGTTTTAGAGTTAATAATTCATTTCAATGAATGAGGAAGAAGACTTATCAATTACCACTTTGTTGTTGTAGGTGCAACGTTGGTATTCCCATCGCAGACTGTATACAAATACGATTAGTAATTTATAATCCAAAATGTATATACTATAAATATTTTTGGGCCGTCTGCCTCGCCATAGTTCTTCCAGAGAAGGGGCGCATGGGTAATGTAGTACGGCGGCGGACACGTGGGGCGTTGCGTTGCTCTTCGTTCGAAGTTTGCGGCAACATGGCGGGTCTGGAGCTGCTGTCCGACCAGGGGTACCGTTTAGATGGAAGAAAGGCCACCGAGCTGCGGAAGGTCCAGGCCCGCATGGGGGTGTTCGCTCAGGCGGACGGTTCTGCGTATCTAGAGCAGGGAAACACGAAGGCTCTGGCTGTGGTCTACGGGCCACATGAAGTAAGTAGCATGCATGCAGGGTCGTGGGGCTGGCCAGCAGTGATAACCTAAAACAAGGCAGTAACTCCTCCAGAGGGAATATCAGGATGTGTTTTGAACATGAACAACATTTCCCATAATGCTGGAGCGGAGAGCAAATATTAGATTAAGTGCTTTGCTGCTGGGCTATGGTTTGAAAATGATTCCAAAACACTGATCAATCAAGTATTTATCTACTCTATAAAACGTCAAATAATGCCCATTATAAGTTACCATAGCCCAGGTTTATGTTTGAAATGTGTTTATAGTATTCTTCCCCTCATATTTGTGAATTTGGTTGGCAAAACATTAGAAACACCTCTCAGTATAATGCAGTCCAGTTCAACAACACTGCAAACTACAACCTCAATAATAAACAGATCAGTCAGATTATCATAACACCATTATCTGTAATGTAAAGGTAGAGTTTATGGATGAGCTGTTGTGTTGGATTGCATTGATAAAGTATATCACAATATGACAAATGTAGGCAAAAATAAATGTTTCTCAGTGATGTTATTTAGGACCAGCAAATTCAATCTTGAATGGGGGAAGGCCCTTAAAGCTGCAGTAGGTAATTTTTATAAAAATAACTTTTTGTCATATTTGCTGAAACTGCCACTATATTATTATTATTATTATTATTATTATTATTATTATTATTATTGGTATAGCACTATATTTTATATCCCTGTACATTAGTACATTACTCTGCACTTCACTGCTTTTTGCACTTAGATCATAAACTGCATTTTGTTTTCTTAGTACTTGTGCAATGACAATTAAGTTGAATATATAATAATAATAATAATAATAATAATAACAATAATCTACTAAAATACATACCTGGACACTCTTCTTCTTTTTTGTGCAATAACTTAATCCACCGCTTCAGTGCAATAATGTAATTTAACTGCTAATTTCTGCTAATGTCATTTATCCACTGTATAATAACACGATGCCATATACAGTCCTATATATTTATCTATATTTATCCTCTATACAGTTCTCTACATTTATTTGATTTGATTTTATTTTACTTTAATTTTATTTTACTTTTATTCTTTTCTCTACTTTCTATATTTAACTAAGAGTTTATTGTTTACTTTCTATAGTTAGCTAAGAGTTTGTTTATCTTATACTGTATTTTTTTTATACCTCTTTTATTTTGTAATTATTATTTAGTGTTTTGTAAGCTGCTGGAAATTCAGTTTCCTTGAGGGAGTCATCCCAAAGGGATCAATAAAGTGAAGTCTAAGTCTAAGTAGTACATGAGACATAATCTGTAAAAAATCTTCTCCTTATGCTCCTAATGACATTTGAATGAACCCAGTGGCTGAATAAAAACAACCAATCAGAGCCAAGAAAGATAGTTGATTGTGCCCGACGCTTTGATACCTGGGAGTGAGACTCAACAACAGTCTTTCTCAGACATTTCTTTTTAAAAGTTACCTTGTTTATCACCCGTAGATGCGAGGCTCACGCAGCCGGACTCGTCACGATCGAGCTGTTATCAACTGTCAGTACAGCATGGCCACGTTCAGCACAGCAGAGAGGAAGAGGAGACCGCATGGGGACCGTAAGTCTACCGAGATGAGCCTCCACCTGAAGCAGACGTTTGAAGCTGCTGTGATGACCCAGCTCTACCCACGCTCTCAAATAGACATCTATGTCAAGGTGAATGTGGAACAGTGAGAGGCGGATTTGATGTGTTGTGTTTATATTGTTGGGATCGCCATCTTGGGGGGGAAAAATACTAATATAAGGATTCTTTTTTTTGTGCTGAAATGACATGAAATCTTCTCTCCGAACAGATTCTGCAGTCAGATGGAGGGAACTACAGTGTGTGTGTGAACGCTGCCACTCTGGCGGTGATCGACGCCGGCATCCCCATGCGGGACTACGTGTGTGCCTGCACGGTCGGGTTTGTGGACGAGACACCCCTTGCTGACCTTTGCTATGCGGAGGAAAGTGGAGGAGTGAGCTCTCTGGCCTTAGCGCTGCTGCCCCGGGGCGGACAGATCGCTCTGCTGCAGATGGACGCCAGACTACATCAGGACCACTTAGAGGCTCTAATTGAAGCTGCCATGACAGCTTGTAAAGGTGTGAGCAAGGTGCTGGACGAGGTTGTGCGACAACATCTCGAGGAAGTTTCTGTGCTCTCTGGAGAGTGATGCAGAGAGGAGGGGTCAACATCTGGACTGTGGTTTTGGTTGCAGACCAAGCGATGGGACTTAATGTAGAGGAACGATGGGAGAATCTTGGAGTGAATGGGTTTTCTTTTATGTATCCATGGCAACTATACTTTTGTACAGTATATCAGTGGTGAAGCTGAAAATAAATATGTCAATCCTGCATCATTTGTGTGTTGCTTGTTCACGTGTTAGTGGTTATTATTTATTCAGTTATTAAGTACTTAAATGTGCAATCTATAATCCGATAAAAGGGTGTGTTATTAAAAAAGAACAGAAGATATGGAGTTATCGATGTTTAAGATGCTGTTAAATGTTTGTGTACATCAGCAATGTTTGTAAACAATAAAATTGGAGTATATACAAATTTGAAATACGTTGTGGAAACAAAAAGCTGGCTTGAAATCTCTCGCTGAAAATCTGAAATTGTGTATGTGAAATACATACTGTATATTTTTTTAAAAGCAGGGATCTTACTTTTAATACACAAACACTAGTTAAAAGGTATTTAATAGGTGAGGAAGGGAAATATAATGATCTTAAAAATTGATCATAAACCAATAATTTATTTTTTTTTATATTTTTAATAATTTATATTTAATTTTTAAATAAAAAAAAAAAAAAACGGAAAAATATATGTCGTGAGATAGATGTTTTCCTTTTTAAATGTAATTTTATTTCCTATTGCTTGACCGGAAGTCGGTCCGCCGCATTAATGTTCCCGCAGGAACAAGGAAATTGCAAACAGCGGCTCCTGTGTGTGAAGAAGCCCCACCTCTGCAGGCGGATGTGACCCGCTGTACGCTGGAAAGAGGTATGTATTCATGCATATTATGTGAAATACTGAAACACCTACCACCTAACTGTTAATAATAATCACCTCCACAGAGGACAACGGCTTGAAACACTTGCAAACTGAGACCGCAAGCTAAGTTAGCTAGCCGCAAGCTAACCCCAAGCTGTCAATACGACAGCGGGTGGAAGAAAACGATTTCTCCTCTCGAGCTGGAACCGTGTAATGACCTGCTTGTGAATATACGGACAGTCAGATAAAGATAAAATCCATGGTACTCAGCTTGCGGTTGTTTGCGTCGGTAATTATCGATCTGTGATCACATATTTCAGGTGTGTAGTTGATAGGTACAGTTACAGTGTGTGTGCTGCCTTCAGGGTCCAGGGTATTCAGGCTTTGTTACGTTACAAGGGACAACAACATGGGACTGCTGTCTGATCCAAACAGAAGACGGGCTTTAATCAGCCTGCTAACCCGCCTCAATTCCCCAATCTGGTGAGTTGTTAGTCACTGAAAGATAAATGTGCCTTAATGACACCTCTCCCTTTATTGCAATACCCAGTGTGCACCTGTGCTTATAACTTACATGCTTTCTCTCCCTTTGACTTCCATCCTTCCATCTTAGTGTGGTCTGCTACATGGCGGGTGTGGCCTGGTTCATGGGGTTAGCATTTGAGCCGTTCACTCTGCGCACATACATGTCAGAGAACGCCATGGGGTCTACCATGGTGGAGGAGCGCTTTCCAGCAGGGGAGAGGGCGCTGACCACAGGGAGAGAGTTTTCAGCCCATAAGAAGAAAGCCGGGTAAGCAGCACAAAGCTACAGAGAAGGAAGACATGAATTAAAGTCATAATGTTGTTTTGATCATGATGACTGGAGATGTCTGAGCACAGTGCACTTACTCAGGGCCGTATAATTAACAGATGTTATTTGTCTTTTCACTGTTTGATAGCATTTTTAAAGTTTTCCTGTGTGTTTTTCTTTAGTTTTACTAAGTCCTTTTTAATATTTAATCTTTTTCCACCAGTCTGATGTGACCAGTTGTTTCTCTGCAGGGGGATGCCAGTGGATTGGCTGGTGAAGACCATGCAGGCTCGAGGGCTGGAGGTGTTTACCCAGAGGTTCTCTCGCAAGCTGCCCTTCCCTGATGAAAACAAAGAGAGATATGTAAGTCTGTGATTGAGGACTTTTAAATGTACTTTACTTCCATATTTGGCTCAACTATTTTTTTAATAGTATTTCTATGCATCTACGGCTCCTCTTCATCTTACTCCATCTTCTCTTCTCTCAGATGGTAAAAGGCACAAATGTATATGGGATCCTTCGGGCCCCCAGAGCTCCTCGGACTGAAGCCCTGGTGCTGAGTGCCCCTTGCACCCCAGGCGACTCCAACAACCAGGCAGTGGGGCTGCTACTCGGCTTGGCACAGTACTTCAGGAGTGAGTACAGAACCCACGGCTCTCTCTATCATTTGATTGACACTGAAGTGGAATGTCTTGTTTTAATGACGGCTGTGTTCCTCAATAGATCAGATTTACTGGGCCAAAGACATCATCTTCCTTGTGAATGAACATGATCTGATTGGTATGCAGGCCTGGTTGGAGGGTTACCACCACACCAACACTACAGGTAATCCACACACTTAAAAAAAACAATCAACAAATATCCCTGAAAGTATTACATTCTCTCCAGATTCATGCAGAACTCATGCATTTGACTTTTCTTCTGTACTGGTGCATCCAGGTATGGACTGGTCTCCACTTCAAGGCCGTGGTGGTTCAATCCAGGCAGCTCTGTCCCTGGAGCTCAGCAGTGATGTCATCACCAGTATGGACCTGGTACTGGAAGGCCTCAACGGCCAGCTCCCGAACCTGGATTTAGCCAACCTCTTCTATGCTTTCTGTCAGAAGATAGGAGTCCTCTGCACCATCCAGGGCAAGGTGAAGGCTTGTGATGAGATTTAGTAGAAACATAATACATTTTGTCTTCTGCTGTGTGTTTGGTGAGCAGCAGGTTATGATAATAATACAGTTTTTAATTTAGATTTTTCTGTGTGGATGTGTCTACAGCTTCAGCGGAATGACTGGGACAGTGTGTCAGGCTACAGCCACTCAGTCCAGACCATGATGCTGATGGTGATGAAACAGGCCAGTGGGCGTCCTTGGGGGGATCATGGCCTTTTCCTGCGATACCACATTGAGGCTGCCTCCATCAAGGGCATCAACAGTTTCCGTCAGTACAAGACAGACGTCACCACCATTGGCAGGTCAGAGTGTATGCTGCTTTTTTTGTTTATCGTTTTCACATTCTTTATAAGCTGACACTTAATAGCTGTGTTTTTTTTTTTTGCCTTTATGTATATCCTCTAGGCTCCTGGAAGGAATGTATCGTAAGCTGAATAACCTCCTGGAGCGCCTACACCAGTCCTACTTCTTCTACCTCATGCCGTCACTCTCTCACTTTGTCTCCATTGGGTATTACATGCCAGCCTTCGGCCTCCTCGCCGTCATCCTACTGCTTCGTGTATCCTTTCGCGGTTATTTTACTTTCAGTTTGGTTTAATCTAAAAACACGACTGAAAAAAAGCATAACACAAACACCCTGATTGAAGCCCAGCTTACTGATTACATGTTGATTTTAACACTGCTATTGCACTTGACTGTGGTACAGGCCTTAGATTTGTGGGTTCAACTTGCAACTCCACCACCAAGAACAGAGGATGGAATCACTGACAAAGAGCAGGTTAGACACACATATTACTTCAGCTACTTATCTTGAGGCTTTTGAATTACCATTTTAATCAAATCTGTTTCCTCCCAGGTTTCCAGTCCAGGAGTGCTGTCTGTGTTGACTCCTCTGGTGATCAGCCATCTGACTGGAGTGGCTCTGTACACCCTGCCGATCCAATTTCAGGAGATGGCTGTGGAACAGTTCCCGGTATCAGAGACAGAGGCTGTGGTCCTGACGGCTATTGGTGTTTACACAGCAGGCCTGGCTCTGCCTCATAACACACATAGGTAGTACAATGTTTTTCTTTTTATATACATTGTAATGTTCTTGGTCTTAAAGACAACATCACAGGTTGAGTGGTACTTTATTCTGAGCTGACTCTTGCATGTAAGAGAATGTAATCTACAAAAGCTCTAATTTATTTACCATGTTATCCACATTGCTAGTGGCTTTTTATCAGAGATCATATCACCCAAATTTTTACATTAAATATTAATGCTCCGTTTATATTAACACTGAAGTTACACAGTGAATCTGAAAAAAATGAACAGCTTTTCTGAACATTTGAGAACAGATTAAAAGCAGACAGCAAAGTACTCACACACACATTTAAGTATTGATTTGATTTTTGGCCTTAAGTCTGTGTGTTTGATATAATTTGTTCACACATTTTATTCAGTCTTAAATCTTTTTAGACATTTACCTTTTAACGTGAAGTTCTTTTCTCGGGTTTATAAAGAGTGATGGACAACCAGAGGCTTTGAAATGATTCCTGAAAAGTTTATTGACTTACTTAATAACGCGCACAGCATTTACCAAGACAAAGAAGAACAGAGCTAGCTGAGACGGTGGGAAACTTTTACAACTATAAGAGCGCTGTGATGCGGGAGAGTGAGTCGTTTTGTTGTGCTGTTTTATTGAAGGCTCCTGTCGGGCGAGGGGACGGAGCAGGGCTGGAGGGTGCTGAAGCTGGTGGCTGTGCTCTACCTGGCCGTGCTGCTGGGTTGCACCGCCCTCATCAACTTCTCCCTGGGATTCATCCTTGCTCTCACCCTGGTGCCTGTGGCCGCCTTCGTCACACCCCACGTACCAAAGTACGTCACCTTTATTTGTATTCACATTGTAGCTCTGTATTGCCACAGTCGATTGAATATTCAAAGTAAAACCTCACTCTCCTCTTCTTCTTCCCATAGGGTTTTATCCGCCTTTATCCTAGTCATCCTCAGCCCAGCATGCACGCTCCTCTTTTCCGTCTTTTTCTTCCAAGAGCTGCAGGAACTGCCAGTCAGCTTCCAGGAAGGCTGGTTGCTCTACCTGTCAGTCATCTCGCAGGGCATCCTGGACCACTTCCTGTACGGCTCTCTGGTCTACCCGCTCATAGCCCTGCTGGTCTATCCTTGCTGGCTGCTTTTCTGGAACATCCTCTTCTGGAAGTAAACGCCAGTCATACAGGACTACTGAAGGCTTTCATGGGGAGAAAAACCCTCTGAGGTGTTCTCAGGTTTGTCTTCACTGTGGGAAATGTGAATGACAGTTAAATCCACTGGAGAGATTGGGAAAGAAGAGAAACATGGTTGACTTGGAAATAATGCAGTGATTCCCCAACTCCAAGTATTTTATTCTTAAAACTTTCTTTATAAACGAAGCTGAGTGGACTGTTTTGTACCGTACTCTTACAAATAAGTGAAATAGGGGAAGATCTTTTCACAAGTAACTATAAATGTCACCGTTGACTTGCTATCTGTATAAGAATTTGGTTTAATGATTTCTTTGCAGTATTCTTTATTTGTGGTACATAACTAAAATTACTGCACTGTTTTTCTTAGCTCCTGTTGTTTTTTTTTTTTTTTTTTATCAGGCAGGATGGTGATGGATGAAAGATGAATGTTTCTGTCGTGTCAGCATGGTTTGTACTAACAGATATAACGGGAAAAAGCTGTTCAACTGGAAGAAACTACCTGTTTTGTTTGTAGTCTGCCTCCTTATGTCTGTACATCTGCATCTGTTCAACAAGCCATCACAACATCTAATATTTTTATACTTGTTTTGATAAGTTTATTTGAAACATGTTTATTTCATATTTATAAATGCAAAATTAAAAGACTAAAAATGTTTGGTTATCATGTTTCATTCATAATACTGTACTTAGTCTGACAATAAATCAAAAAGCTTAAAAAATGAATCCACTCAAAGATCTTTACATTAACAACATAAAATATGGAACACAACTTGAACCCGCACAAAGGGTGGTAGCTATTAATGACAACTAGTTCAGCAAAATACACTAGTATCAACACCATGATGAAAGTGCTGCACAAAGAAATTAAATGTGCATGTCAGTGATTTAGAATTGCACTTTCATTAAAGGTGCCCTGTGGAGTTCTGTTGTAAACAACGAACAGTAACGTTTACATTCAGTTTTAGTCACCAAAGTACATTGTGTGTATCCTTGAGGTCTAACTAATGTGATGCATATATAATGCATTTATTTTTCCAGGGACACACTCAGAAAGTCTGCTCCACAACGCCATTGATGCTCAGAAACTCCATAAAGAGTGCCTTTAAGTTTACAGACTCAAAAGAGACACTGAAAAAAGAATGGTATAAATGCAGTAATCTGTCTTTCAAGCGGTCCAAAGATTTTGAATCTCAAGCACAATCCAAGATGCTGTTATATTCTTAGACTCTGTAAAATTTCCTCCAGAGCCACAGACGAGGTTATAAAAGCATATCCCCGTCTGAGTAAACTGAACTTCATGTATTAAAATTACCCTTCTTCTTTAAGCCTTGCACTTAAAATCTGTCCATCAGGGAGAATCAATTAATAGGCAAAACAGGATTTGTTTAGATTCATTATGTTTATTCAGGTAATGCAAGTTTTTACAGTATTATGTACTGAAAACAAATCATTCCATTGCTGTCACAGCTCAGAGGGAATTGAGTAAAATTTGATCAACTGCTAAAATGTACATCAATTACTCAATGCATCTTGTTAAAAATAATACACTTAATACAATGTTATAAAAAAATAAAAGCACTTGACAACCCTGTAAACACACCATCTATTCTCAGCCATGGCTTCCAACATTATTTATGGCACCAACAGATGACCCACTAACAAAACAGAGCAGGGTATTGCACAAGGCTTCAACTTTCCTCTCACTTCACAGTCGGCAGAAACTGAAAGTCCCCTCATCTTCAGCTGCAATCAAATGCAAATCATGTCTCTCACCTAAAATAAATATAAGACCGTCTGTGTTGTTTGCACCATACACCCTGTAAAATAAATAACAAAGAGGTCAGGCCAAATTCAGATGTATGTCATGGTCACGTCCATATCGACGGTCGAAGTTGCTCTCTCTGTCTGCAGTTCATCAACCGAGCCTCGGCCAGTGCAGCTCTGCGTCATGCTACAGTGCTTCAAACGCTCCAGTCTTCAGCAGCCAGCCAGCTGTCAGAGGACTCTCAGTGCACTTGACAGTCTTTGTGTGAGTATTTTGTCAACATGTACACGGCGGATTTAGCATCCTCACTCTGTGTGTGTGTGTGTGTGTGTGTGTGTGTGTGTGTGTGTGTGTGTGTGTGTGTGTGTGTGTGTGTGTGTGTGTGTGTGTGTGTGTGTGTGTGTGTGTGTGTGTGTGTGTGTGTGTGTGTGTGTGTGTGTGTGAGTGAGTGAGGGAGTGAGTGAGACACGGCGACCAGACAGAGATGATGGGCAGTCAGCTGCTGCTGCTGCTTAAACCAGGTTCCCCTCGATCCTCTCTCCTTCCTCTCTCCTTTGTGAGAGAATATTAAAGAAGAGAAAAAGAGGTGACTGTCGGTGAGGGAAAATGGCACAAAGAGTAGTACAAAAGTATTGATTTCCAGATATTTGTGCAATACCTGCTGGATGTGTGTGTCAGGTCTGGCTGTAGCACAGATTTCACAACCTGGACGGGACGGCTTGTTGATGAAAGTGCATAAGGGGCAAGCCCATTCCGTCTGCTGAGGGGATGTAATAATTATATAAAGATATTAATAATTATATAAGAATAATATTTATACGGTTTTAAACATTTACCCAAGACAGACAAGCTTGCAGATACAACTGTTGAGAACTACAGTACAAAATAAGCTTTTTTTTAAGTCATCAGATTTGGCTGAAGGAGCATTCTCATTCAAGCCACTCTCAAAATCACTGCTCCATTGCTACAAGTGGTCAAAAACTTCAGCTTACCATTAAACTGCACACAGATATTAAAAAAAGAAATAGATAAAATAAAAATAACAGTTACCCATGTATGTAGGAGCAGGAGTTAAATCCCAACTAAAATCTAACTATGCCTTAGATTACTCTTAGTGTGTGTAGTGACAGAATATAACATACCTGTGTTTTATTGGCTTTATTGGTATGATCATTCAGCTGCAGATTCTCAATGTCGAGAACATCTTTAATATCACCCGGTCTGTCACTTCCTCCACCTGTACTCCCTGAAGTAGACAAAAAATAAATAAATAAAAGATTATAGAGCTGTGCTTTCTGCAGTTTAAATGTAGTATTTATTATGAGTAATATAGTTATTGTTTGATTTCAAAGCAAATGTGCTGAAAAGGAAACCGCAGAAACAACAGACAAAATACGTCTTATTCAGACATATTTTGTCTGGTGTTTCTGCTTTAAGTCAAATAAAGTCAATAATACAATACTACACAAATTCAAAAAAATAAAGAAAACTTATTCGGAACATTAAGCCATGTTATTTAAAACATCAGCATTGACAGACTGAAGTCTACAGACATCATCAGACTTTTAATATCTCTGGTGATGTTCTGCTGAGTATCAGGTCTGGCTTGTTTCAGGAATTTTTTGCCTTCAGTCTGGTATTCAAGAAGTCAAACATACTGTGAGATCACATGAATTTCAATCAGGTGACTAATTTGGCCAGCGCAGAACACTGCAGTGTTTGGCTCGAAAACTCCTTTGCTGCTTTGTCTGCATGTTTAGGCTCACAGTCCTGCTGCACTGTCTGGGTCTGCATATCTGCATTTTTAGACCTAAATCGTTACAGAATGAAAATATTAGTTGAACTCACCCAGGTTGTTGTGGGGTAGCCTCGAGGGTAGGGTGCTGTAACCCCTCCAGTCTTGGGATGTGGGGCCGTTGCCTGGCGGGAGAGGTGGGGCGAGGAGGGCGCTCTCCAGGTCCTGCTGGAACAGCTGGCGGGTGATGCGGGCTTGTCGGGCAGAGATCAGGTAGAGGTACGCCGTATCGCCATCCTTCTGCACCCCATAGGAGGCCAGTGATCTTGGCTCGGTGCACAAGCACTGACCGATCACCCAGCGCTGCACGCGAGGATGGAAGCCGTACTCGAGAAACACCTGAAGAAGAGCGGTGGGAGTTAGCCAATGAAAACCTACTACACCCATTTAATTCTTGGTTAATTGACAGTTTTCTAACCTGTTGCTTGAGCGCGGCCACAGTCATGTAAGGAAACACTTTCACCGTGACACAGCAGGATGACGAAACATCCTCCACCACGACAGATAAACTGCAACACAGACATGGCACTATAATGTTAAGAAGAACCTGGAAAACATATCAGTCATTGCAACCTTGAATATACCCTCAACACTTTTCATTTCCCACCTGATCTCTCCGTCCGCGTAGTTCTTTTCAGACAGCTGAATCGTCAGTGCTGCTTTTTGCCGAGCCAGAGCGGATGCGTGCTGTGAAGCAGCCTGAGTGTCACCGGCCTCAATCGCCCTGGAGAGCTCCAAGCATAGCTCCTCTGAAAACAAAAAGGAGGTAGCAATCAAAAGTGACATTTTTAGAGCATGGACGGAGGAGAGAGAAAGAGGAGAACGCATTGGACAGAGATAAACCCACCGGTGAGCGGCAGCGAGGCCGAGCTCCACTGCTCCATGGCTGCTGCTGTGTGGTTGTGTTTGCCATCCGATTCACATATGTTAATATTTGCAACTGTCAAAGAAACAGAAAAAGTGCTTTAAACACGGGGTTGTCAGCACACAGCAATATCAACTGATATCACTATTTATTCTAGCTACACCTGGCTGATAAAAGGCCCAACCCGAAAGTATCAGTAAATTCCTTTTTCTATTCAGGTCACACACACGGGTCACAGTATTTCCTTACCCTTGTATTTTAGGTTACACACATCACACTTAAACTAATAATTCCTCAGTATATCTGAGAATCTACCCTGAAAGATTCCTGTTGTAATTGTGCCTGACGAAAGGAGACTTGATAGCTCTTTTTAGTCCTTTAGGACCCATGGCACATGTGGTTTTACTTTGAAACAAGGATGAACAGCCATTTGGTCCCTTTATTTTATATCTGAGGACACCAGTTTTTTCCAACTTTTACTTTGCTTGAAGGCAAAAAGTGGTTTAAAAAGTTTTCTTCTTCTTATTATTATCCCCTTATTTTCTTATTTATCTCTTTTTCACCTGGGGACACAGCTGGCCCACTGTGTTGCTTTACAATATTTTTCATTTGTTTGTTGCTTTTAGACTGTTTTTTTTTGGTATTTTCCCCTCCATATGACAGCCAATAGTATAGAGACAGAGAGGAAACCTGAGGAGCAGTCCAGGATGTTGCAGTGACATCGAATACATCTCAGCCACCAGGACGCTCCTGTTTTTATTTGTTGTCTAGTTTATTAAACAGGCAACATAAGTGTAGATTGTTTCTTCTTCTCTAAAACAAATGAGTTAAAATAATAATAATAATAATAATAATAATGAATTATCTTATCTAGTCGTCAAACCTACCTCTATGTGCCTCTCTTAGTGATGACATCACCACCGTGGCCCACTCCTCGGCCTCGCGGTCGCAGCGGAAGTTGAAGCGGATGCAGTCGTGGGGTGGTGCAGCAAGACGCATCTCATGGCAGCGAGGAGATTTGACCTCATACTGCACCGAGCGCAGGTCAAACTCTGCAATGAACTATGAATGAAACAAACAACAACAAACAATAGTCAGTCTAAAAAGCCATTTCTTCTACTTCCTTTGATAAAAATCTCAAACAAATCTTATAGTTTGATTTCCAGCCCAGCAGCCATTGTAGGAGTGCAACAAATTATTATTTTTGCCGATTAACTGATTATCGTTTAGTCTATGAAATATATATATTTTTTAAAAGCCCATTACAATGTCTCGGAGGTCAAGGTTACAATCCAAAAACCACAATATATTCAATTTAGTAAACAATCTTTACATTTAAAAAGCTGGAACTAGTGAATGTTTTCTAAGACAAATTATGTTGCAAAACCATTAAATTGGACTTGAAAACGGAAAAAAGAACAAAATGCATTATAGTATAAGAAAAGAAATTACAGCTGCAACAAGTAATTGATTAGTTGTCAACTATTAAATTATATTTTTTAAAAACAAAAAAAAACAACAAGCTTCTTAAATGTGAATATTAAAACATACATTTGAGAATGTCATTCTATAGACCAAACAACTAATTGATCAATCTAGAAAATTATCTACAGATTAACTGACAATGAAAACAATGATTAGTTGCGGCCCTAAAAGAAATAACCCCCCGAAATGTCAGAAAGCATGTGAAATTCTCATTCTGACAGAGATGGACTCAGAAATGAGTGAGTTTGGCAGACTTTACTCACAATCTGTACTCTAACATTCACTGTGGCAGAGGAGGGAATCATTAGAGCACTGAAGTCTGTTGTGGGTAGAAAAAAGCAGTAAAGAGGGATTTGCCTCCTGCCAGAGGGTGTGCGTATATATACACACTCTGATACGACTGTGTATGGAAAGTTTGCCAGCTTAGACAGACGACCTAAAAGAAGCAGGGATCAAAAGAAAACCATGCAAATCAAGAAGCATCACAATTGTCAGGGGGAAATCTGTCTGACTTGAGATTCTACCGAGATGAAAAGCCGATTCCGAGCCCGTCACAGTTCAGGCAGACGGCACATAGTGAACTTGACAAACAAAGGACAGGTTTGAGAGGGAAGTTAGGATGCAGCGAGACAGGCAGAGTACAACGTTAGGTCAGCTTCAGGCACGATCAAGCATGCGTGTCTACAGTTGGGACTAGTCATTGACAGTAATCACTCATAATACTGAAAGAGAAGAAAGAACTCATGCGTGAACTGAAATGTGTCCCACAGTGACAGAGTGATGCAGCACTGTAGTCACCGCATGTGACCTGGAGAATCTATTTAGAGTTGACATTAACAGTGTAAAGACTGAACCTGGTTTAGCAAATGTGTAAGGCTGCAAAAGGATTATTTTCAGTATTGATTCATAATTTTGTCTATAAAAAGACAAAAGACAGAAAATAATGAAAGATCTGCTTATTTTTTTCACGACCAACAGTCCAAATCCCCAAAATATCCCGTTTAAAATCAGACACGATGAGGAAAAGCAGGAGGCTTTAACCAGTGGAATATTTGGAATATTTGCTTAAAAAATGGCTGCAAAACTGAAGAAGATCTATCAAAATAGTTGCAGATTCATTTTCTGTCAAACAACTCATCATCTCAGCTGTAAAACTGAGAATAAATTTGCCCTGTAGGGGCGTACAATCAACAAGCGCAGTATATGCTCGGAAAGAGACTAATTGTAAAGCAACTGCAGTGCGGTTGTAAAAGCCGAGAATGTGATGAAACCTGTTCGTAACAAAGAAAACAGAGCGGGCAGAGCAGCAAATACACAGCCGACCGCAAAGCGCGCTGAGGAGTTACAGAGACCTAGAAACATCAAGCAGTGGCTATGTGGAGATCCCATGTGTCCTCTCTATCAAGTTTATTGTTTATTTAAGGATCCCCATTAAAAGCATGTTTATGTGCCTCTACTCTTCCTGGGGTGATAACCAGGAGGAGCTTAATAATTGGAAAGAAACACAACATGCAGCACAGACACAAGTTCTTACTAACTAATGTTGATTTATTAAGGAAAAAGTACTTTATTTTGATAATCAACTGATTATTTAGGCCATTTAAAAAGGAGCACTCCACCCATTTTACAGATGAGGATCAGCTTACTTGTCACAAGGAGTATTACTTAGGGGTCTGCACAGTTTTCAGCTACTTGTACGTGAGTATTTCTGTTTCCCCCTCTGTGCCTTCAGCGTTGAGAAGCCATTACTCGTGATGTGTAACTACAGAGTGGTGACTAAAGGTAGAAAGAGGCAGCTGCATCAAAGCCAAAGTAGAGCAATTTAACATTAATTTATTTTATCAGGAATCTGATAAAAAAAAAAAGCATATCTGATAATCAGAAAAATGGCGAATAGAGGATCTGATAATTGTCCATCCTTAGTATCACTCAACCTGTGGAAACAGCTGTATAATGTCTTTAATCATTACATTTGAACAGAGAGTCTTTTAATGAACTGGTGTTTTTTTTTTTTGAAAGATGTGGGAATTAACCTGGGTCTAGTGAAAGACAGTATTTAGTTGGATTGTGGGAATTATAGGACTGAGTTTTTTGTTTTTGGAGCGTGACACTTAGAACTAAAAGTCAGGATACCTCTGCTGCGCCAGTTTTGACCCTTCTTTTTTGTCTAAATTGTTGTTCCCCCGACTTTATGGAAAGTGCAATGCTAAAACAATTTATGAGCAGTCTATTATCAGACAGGCACAGAACACAACGTTTACCCTCTGGTAGAAGATTCGGCGTTCCCCAGAGCAGACTGAACCGTAACAAACCATTCCTCAACATAAACAGATAATGTGATATGTTGCCACTTACAGAAGGTGTGTATAGGTATGTGTAGTATGTGTATGTGCAAACTGTTACTTAGAAGCTGTGTGTTGCTGAAATATGGATTTAAAATATATATATATATATATATATTTATATAAATATATATTATGCAGTATATGGATTTTTTAATCTTCTGTGGAACTGCAAGACGGAGTCCAAAACCAATTTTCCCTACAGGGACATAATATTATATTATATATAGTATATTCTATTCTAAATAGATAGAGGAGAGAGAACACATTACCACTCTCAGATCTTCACCTCTAGTTGGAAAACTAGTAAAGTTTGGCCTAAAGGGGGTGCCAGAGGAATGGTATGTTGTCAGCTAAATCATAAAGCTTTCTCCTCTGTGCATACGTTTATTAGGACATCTCAAACTCAGCTATATTGTCAGACTTCCTCAGTGAGTCTAGGTTTTGTCCGCCTCAGGTGTACTTAGGCTCAGGTGTACTCTGAAACAAACGTTTGCTGAAGCTGAGGTGGTGGTAGAGCATCTAGGTAGGTGTTGAAAGTGGGTGTGCAGGGGGTGCCAGAACTTCCTGTTCCTGCTCACTACCCTTCCACTTTGTTATTTACATCTGCATTATCATGTATGTTCACATTTACACCTGTCAGCGACTTATGGAAAGGCTTTACTCACCACACCAAATGCAATAAAGAAGCCACAGCTGAGAGGTAATTACAAAATCTAACCACTTCAGAAAGGTGAAACCTCAGTTTTTCAGGTTTCACAGCCTCACTGTTGGTGGTTGAGAGTTTGAAGGAACGAACAGAGACTTTCGACATGTCATGAGGTGAAAAGTGTAATGGTACATGTATTATAAACTTGTCAGGCGACATATGAGAAACACAAGGCTGAACACTGGTAGTCCCATAGTTTGACAAGTTGACAACTGGGAGGGAAAATACCAGGAAAGTCTCACTGCAGATGTTTACCAGTATGCCCAGTTTAAGGATTTCCCCTGGTGAGTATTAAATTCTAATAAAACTAAATGTGTAGTGATTATAGGAAGACTGAAAATGAAAGTGAAACTTAAAAACCCCCTCTTAACTACAGTATTGGTAACTTAAAAAACAACTTTTTTTTAAAAAAAACAAGAAAACATAAGACTGTACAGTATTAAGACTAAACTGGAGTTCTTGTCAGGTGAGTACAGTTCAGAAGCAAATCAAAGAAGGATAAAATGCTGCTGACCTACACTATGTTAGGTGGATGTCTGTTAAAAGTTAGATCCTTGTGACACTTCCAGGAAAGTGTTGGATAGTGTTGGCAGCTGTGTGTCTTTACATCCACCTGCATTCAGTGCAACCAGGTGTGGTTTCAGCCCCAATTCTGAGCTGCGTGTATTCGGGGGGTGAGATCCACGTAAAATGGCGTGTGTACAGGCCTATGCTGGTCTAAACTGGCTCTGTCATTCAGTAAGGTGGTACCTCATAAACATTTAGAAGCGGGTAACGACTGCACACCGTCCTAACACTCAGATGTACGTGTGAAATCTCACCACACTGCGGTTTCCGCTCGTATCTCGCAGCGCCAGTCGGAACTCTCCGGCCCGGCTCGGGTCCATGCTGAGCTGGAGCCGCAGAGCCTCGCTGCCCGCTCCGGGGAGACACAGCGGCCGGATCCCGGAATGGCACACCGAAACCCGGACTGACATTAAAACAGTACTGCAGCAAGCCGTCAGCGCAGGGCCGCCGCATGCAGCCTGCTGGGACGAAGCAGGAACCGGGGCTGGAGGAGCCCAGCCGCCCGAGCTGAGAGCCATGTCGCGGGCAGTCACAGAGGAGGGGTGGGGGTGGTACTGCTGGTTTATAAGGTCCACCAGCGTCTGAAGAGACCGCGTTTGTTCACGGGCAGGCTGTGGTTGTCTCCTCTACTCGCAAATTCTTCCATATCGACCCGAGCCGAGCAGACACGGAGGGAAAGAAAAACAAAACAGGAAGTAGATGGGTACGTCTCTTATTTATGTCCGTGGAGAAACGTGTCCGTGAAACACCCGACCTCACATACGTGCCACAATAAAGAACTTCTAATATATGGTATAACAATATTATGTATAATTTGCATTTTGTTGTTGTTGTTTTTTTTAACAGCAGGACAATGGGGGAAATAGCTGTTATTATTCTTTTTCACAGTGAGCTCAGAAAGCAATAAAATAGCATAAAAACAAGCAATTATAAGCAACAAAACTAAGAAATGAAACATTACCATCTGCAGATATAGGGGTGAAATAATACGACACTTGATGAGACGTATGGAAAAAACATTTATTATTAAAACAATACATTGATGCACTGCCATTAATCTATTGCCATGAAGGCAACCGTAAAACAGATATTATGCTATTGCAATGACATTGGACTGTAAGCTACAAAGAGACTATTACAGTCTCTTTACTGAAAAGAGCATCAATTATCAATAAATGGGCCTATATGATAAAAACTATTTAATTTTTATTTTATTTTATTTTATTTTATTAGGAAAGACAGCAACAACAAAAGCAACAAAACAGCACAAAAGCAAGACAATCAGTGAGGAATAATAATAAAAAAAAATCAACAAATACTTCTACATATGTAGGGCCAAAACACATGAATTATAAAATAAAGGCTGAAATAATAAATGGCCCTTCTCTGCAACCCTGAACAACTACAGATTGCTGCTACTGCACTGTAGTTTTTTAGGCAGAATATCAGCTATATAATATAATCATAAAATATAGGAGGCTAACTGGGAGCCAGTGTAGGGACTCTTAGTGCAAGCTGTTTGCTTTTCTGTCAGTTAAAACTTTGTGTATGAGCTGTAATTGATTTATAGACTTCTTGTGAATGAACATCTCTGCAAGAACATCCAGTTTTATCCCACTCAAAAAAAAAAAAAAACACCCAAGGAGTCTGAAAGTAGGTGCTTGTAATTTCAGCAGGTGTCATGCACAGTCAGGGCAAAAAGTTAATATATAACAGAAAGGCATTTTTATTCCGTTCTTGTTGTAAATCAGTAAATTAAATAAAACAACACCCTGCCATTAGCAAGTTGTCCCTAGACTGATGTCTGTTAATAAGGCACGGATTACCACATATCTTCCATATATATCTTTAACTAGAAATCCTGTCTACATGCAAATAACCTTGCAGCAAGTTAGTGAAACAGCTCAGCTCAGCTCAGCTCAACACCAGCCGCTGCTCTGATTGAAGTGAAGAAGAATTACAGAGATGTCTGTCCTGCAGGAGATCAGTCCAAATGTAAAGAACATGAAGCAGTTGGAGTATGTAGTCCTGGCCAGACGAGCAAGCCAGATCATGGAAGAGCTCAGAAAGGTAAAGAGTATCTAGAGTTTGTTGTCCAATCTGTGTTGTGACATCTGGAACTTCTGCTTTAAACTCACCTCTCTACAGGGAGCAAGAAAGCCATACAGTGAAGTCATAGATGTCTCCTGGGGCGACCCGCACAGGGCAGGTGTGAAGCCTCTGTCATTTGTCCGACAGGTATCTGTGACCTTCAAAGACAACTCATATTTAAGCTGCATTAAAACAACATAATGCACCTTCCTATGAATTAAAGTCTTACTGTGTGTGTCTTCTTTTGCAGGTTCTTGCAGCATGTCTTTACCCTGAGCTTGTGAACAGCAACAAACTGCCAGTGGATGTCAGACAGAGGGCTCAGAGGCTGCTTGGGCAATGTGCTGGAGGCAGTATAGGTAATTCAATTCAATTCAATTCAATTTTATTTGTATAGCGCCAATTCATAACAGAAGTTATCTCAGGACACTTTTCAAATAGAGTAGGTCTAGACCGAACTCTTTAACATTAATTACAGAGACCCAACAGTACCACCATGAGCAAGCACTTGGCGACAAGGGCAAGGAAAAACTGCCTGTTAAAAGGCAGAAACCTAGGACAGATCCTCCGGCTCTAGGTGGGTGGTCGTCTGTCTCGACCAGTTGGGGTGAGAGAGAGAGAGAGAGAGAGAGAGAGAGAAGGCAGAGAGAGAGAGAGAGAGAGAGAGAGAGACAGACAGACAGACAGGTGCACAGCAACAACAGTATTGGCAATGGCAGTCAAGCAGGACCATGGCAGGAGGCTCCACCAGGATCCATGAGAACCTGCGAGACGAGGGCTGTGTGTGTGGTATTACAACAAACATGTTCAAGAGTCAACGCACTCAAATTAGAAAATCACTTCTACTTTTTTACTTACTTCTCTTAGTATCTGGCCAAGCAGATAGGTTTGGTGGTGAGCTGAATTTAAGTTTACGCAGCATAAACAAGACTCAGCATCTTGCGTCAGCTCTGTGAGGCTTTACTGCTGCTTACTGTAAACAAATGCAAACTGTGATTTATAGCCATATTTGACCATGAAGATATACACCAAATTGCACAGTAATCCATCCAATAGTTGTCGAAACATTTTATTCTGAAACACAAATCTAAACCTGCTGGTGGAGGAAAAGATATTTCAAAGCCTACTAGAGCTAAAGGAGTGAGATTTATTTAGAATTTGGGTAAATGGCCCCTTTAAGTGATGAAAACTGTAGATTGCTTCTTTTTAGTAATTCAAATTAATACATTTATTGTTTCAGTTACTTTTCAAGGGAAAAACAAAACAAATAATTGATTGTTCCAGGTTCTGAAATGTGGTAATTTCCCACTTTTTTTGATTTTACATTATTGTAAATTGGATAATTTGGGGTTTGGGATTGTTGGTGAGCCTGTGAGACATTAATGAAATTAGAGAGATTAAAAATAATAAATCAGTTATATCTGCCCAAAAGACCAGAAAAAACAGAACTACAGTACAGTATATACAGTGTTGTATAATAATACTATTTATATAAACTGCATATAATGCAGTATAGCATAATAATATGTAACATTCACACATTACATTACAATACGATAATACAATACGATGAAATAGAGCTGCAACAAACTATTATTTTCATTACTGATTAATGTGTGAATCACTTTCTTGATTTAATCGATTACTTGTTTTGTCCATAAAAACGTATACAAATGTTGATCACTGTTTCACAAAGCCCAAGGTGAAGTCCTCAAATGTCTTGTTTTGTCCACAACCCAAAGATGTTCAGTTTACTGTCATAAAGGAACAAAGAAACCAGAAAATATTCACACTGGAGAAGCTGAAATCAGAGAATTTGGAATTTGTTTCTTAAAAAATGACTCAAAACGATCAATTGATTATCAAAGTAGTTGCCGATTTATTTAATAGTTGACGACTAATCCATTAATTGACTAATGGTTCCAGCCCTACTGTGTATATAATAGAAATAGACAATAATACAATGGTAACATGTTATATAGAGATAAAATAAAAATACAACAATAATAATGATCTATTCTACAGTGTCATCTCAGCTTTTCTTATCAGTGTGTGTGTTTTGTGAGTTAATCAGAATCAGTGCTATTTCTTCAGGCTCTTATACTGCTACAGCGGGTATAGCAGAAATAGTCCACAGAGTCTCTGAATTCATAACGAGACGAGACGGCGGAGCTCCCTCTCACCCTGAAAACATATTCATCAGTGCAGGCTCACAGTGGGCACTCCAGGTAACAGTCAGTATTACTCACATACTCTAAATGTTCCAACCATCATCATCATCCTCAAGTTAACACCATTTTTTTTTTTTAAACTGTGTTTATTAGAACATTCTCAAAGTCTTGGTGAACAGCAAGAGTTCACCAAAAACAGGCGTGCTGACTCCAGTGCCATGTCACTGCACTACCACTTTGTCCATCATGGGGCTGGGAGCAGTTGTCATTCCCTACTACCTCAGTGAGGAGCAGGGCTGGGAGCTGCAGGTGGAGGAGCTGGATCGAGCGCTGGAATCTGCCAAGGGAGTCTGTAACCCTGTAGCTCTGTACGTCATCAACCCTGGAAATCCCTCAGGTGGTAAAATCTCACCAGAACAGAGAACACCTAAGTATATTTTTGTATCAAAGAATATGTATCACATGGTTGTTTTTCATGCCATGTTGCCCGTAGGTCACATTCAAAGAAGAAAATCAATTCAAGAGGTGATCCGGTTTGTCTCAGAGAAGAAGCTCTTCCTTCTGGCCGATGAGGTGGATGTCGTACAGCAAAGTCGTCTATCAAGGCACGATGAGAAATTCATAAACATTAACAAACATGTAAATAAGTGCTTGGGTTTTCTGTCTGTTCTCCTCCACAGGTCTATCAGGGCTGTGTTTATGGGGAAAAGAGTGAGTTTATCTCATACAAGAGGGTTTTGGCTGAGATGGGCCCTCCTCTTTCGGACACAGTGGAGCTGGCGTCCTTCCACTCAGCATCCAAAGGCTTCATGGGAGAGTGAGTTTTCAGGCCTAATGGGAGTCTGAAGTGCATCCACTCTTTTATGCTAGGTGATCAGAAGAGTTGCAGACCTAAGACGAAGGCTGAGTTGTAATTTAGACGAATCTAAATAGACGTACAGACCCCATCCCCCCCTTAAAATCCAATTTTCAGTCAGCACAGAGAAACTTTCCACTTTAAGAAAATGAATGTAAAAACATCTGTCTATCCTCAAACTTTGCACATACATCATTTTGCACAGTGATGCACAAACATTCAGCTGTAGGAGAAAAACATATTTTTGAGTTGAGGGGAACTTTTAATTTAGGATATAATTTAGGTTTAGATTCATTCTTGACCTTGGAAACAGTTGGATTCTTCTTTCTTCCACCAGGTGTGGTATGCGTGGTGGATATGTGGAGCTGATAAATCTGGACCCCGATGTTATGAAATACATCTACAAGCTGTTCTCGAAAGATTCCTGTGCGCCTGTGTTGGGTCAGATTGCCCTGGATCTGATGATCAACCCTCCACAACCAGGAGATCCCTCATACCCCCTTTATAATGTGGTGAGACCAGAGATATTGCATTGTCTAACAGCCTGTTTTTCTTAGTAGATTTAAAAATGGCCTTCCTCTACTCAAGCCCAAGTTTGATCATTGTTCTTCTCGCCTTTAACTCTCTTTTGCAGGAGACACAAAACATCAGGACCATGCTGGTTCATAATGTGAAGAGAGCCTTTGAGGTTGTAAACAGTCTGCCGGGTTTCTGCTGCCAACCAGTGGAAGGAGGAGCATTTGCATTTCCCAGACTGCATCTTCCACCTAAAGCCATTCAGAAAGCCAAGGTTACAACATTATCTCATAAAACCAAGTATACTCCAAAAAAACGGGAGATATATAATCATTAGACAATGGAGTATCGGTCAAAACTATATTTTAGAGCTGGTTATGTTTGTTTTGCTTATTTCAGGAGGTGGGATTGCAACCAGATACATTCTACTGTATCAGACTACTAGAGGAGGCTGGTGTGCTAATCAGTCCTGGTTGTGAGTACGGACAAAAGGAAGGCACGCACCACATCAGGTATAATATTTATAGCATATAAATCAAACATTTAATTATAAATACAACTACATATCAGGATTTCCTTAACCAAAAACATGTTTTTTTATTTGTATTATTTCATGGAACATTATATGTAAGTGCACACTGTAAATGGATGTATGGATGATACCCACTTTTCTCTCTGCAGATTTTGCATTATGACCTCCGAGGTCATGATGGAAGAATTACTAAGACGCCTGACCTGCTTTCACACACAGTTTATGAAGGATTTTTCCTAAACAATGGGAACTTAAGGGGGAAAGAAGTCAGTTCTCTCCCTTCCATCTATCTGCAGTTGAATAATTCATAAACAATAAAAAGGATCTGATCAGTTTCTGGAGGTTAGCATGTGAACATTTATTGCAATAAATATGACATCCTGCACTGCATGCAGTCTTTTTAACAATTATTTTTCTTCACCTCATTAGAAAATTCCACTTTTGTTATTCCAAAAGCAAATCATTATGAACAGTAAACCACAGTCCAAAATCCAAACCAATGGATTTCCTCACATCAGTCCACTGTGTGTTTCTGAGTCAGCACATAGTATAGTGACTCAAACATTCTTTAAAAAACAAAAAATATACAATGGAGAGACCATGCTCCTCCTTGGTTCCTCAGTACCAGCCAGGTTCAACATAAACGTTTTAGATCATCAGTCCACCTCACTGTCACTGTCGTTCTGAATGAAAGGGCTTGAATTTGTATTGTTGAGCAGCTCCACAAGTAATGAGATGAGCTTTTTATCTTGAGCAGAGTGGATGATTGCATTGCTGGGATTGCTGAAGTTGCGATACAGCATGGTCTGCATGGAAGTGCGGAGATCCCACAGCAGGTCCCAGGTCTCAACTGACAACTCACAGTGCACCAGAGTGTGTCCAGGAAGTGATAATACCACTTTGTCTCCTTTCACTGGGACAAAAGAGAAAAGACAGAAAGTTACTTATGAAGAATATTTACTGCAATTCTGGAAATCTAAGGAGGGTGATAAATATTGAAGTACTTGGATAGAACACCTCATCATTCTTTGTATAGTTATTGTTTTGAGCAGAATGTTTTGTTGTGCAGTCCTGAGAGAAATTAAGATATGTGCTATTAAAGTGGCAAACAGGTCTCTAAGAACTCCAGGCAGGAAGTACAAAAGCAATAGCCAGCATTTTACACCAACTTACACAGCAGTAATACTGTATTTCAAGTCAGCATAGAGGGCTGTGTAGACTTGTCACAGACCTCTAAATCATTTCCTACATCTCTAATATAAGCTTAAGATCTGATGCAGCTACACTTTACTTGCAGCCTTGTAAGCTGAATTACAGAAATAACTCCTAAATCAGAATATTTCTCACATCAGTGGATGTGAACTGCTACCAAAACGTTGACAGGATGGATATGTCAGTTACTGCTGAGCTCTTAAACCTGCAATAACTGATTTTTTTTGGCCACTTGGGGGCAGTGGAAACAAGTTGATCCGGCGAACTGGTTAGCAGTCAGTTGCTTATTATGGGGAAACATTATAATTTATTCGGATTCATGTTTCTGTCCACCTTAAGAATGCCAAGTCCAATGTTTATTTTCTTTAGCTTTGGTTGTAGTCTATCAACTCCTGAGGGAAATATCTGGCTCTTAACATGCTGAACGCTCCACTATGTTCACTGGATAGTTGCTACCAGTGACTGTCTACGCTTTTGTGCTGAGCAGGTTGTGTACAGTGGGTTTTTAGAGCTTTTTCGTGGGAAAACAGTTGCCTGCTGTAACAGATGACAATGTTATGAGAGCAAAGAGAGTGGATCTAAACAGCAACAGTTAAACAATGAGTTGAAACTCACTTAAAGCACAGTAAAGCCAAGAGGAGCTGCACATTCGGGTGAATATTCTCCATAACTGATTATAGCTTCTTTAAAGGCAAAATAATAACTCCTCCCACCTTCAAGCACCAGTGCCTTTCCTTAATAAACAAATTTTTTTTACGGAGAGCAGTACATGTCCTACCTGTCTCTAAGATATCACAGTCTGTGAAAAGCAGCAGTGCGAGTGGATGGACCACAGAAGAGTCTCTGATGAAAACAACCCCACTGGACTTGACAGCGCTGAAGAATGTCAACCAACGACTTGGAAACTCTTTTCTTCTGCTACAACACAAGAGGAAGACAATAAGCATACATACGCCCTAGGAAAGTAAATATCTGCTGTAGCCAATGATACAGCAATGTTCAAACCTGTTCACTGTTCGATTAAGCTGTACTGGCCCGGTGACTGTGTGGAAACACACACTGTTTGGGCGAAAGCGTCCTTTGGCTACCCCACCTTTCTTCACCTGGAAAAAAATAAATTAAAAAAAGTGTAAAGTAAATGTGTCATGCTGGAACTTCTAATGAGGGCTTTGACCCACAAGGTGCAAACATGATAGACTCCTTTTTGGCCATGTACCTGAATGAGGTTGGGATAGAATCCAGCCAGCAGTACAGCTTTTAGCAGCTCATCCTGGTTGCTGTGCTCGTTGAGAACAGAAGTATCTTGCAGGCACTGATGCGCATGAGACACCAGCTGGGCTTCCTGCAGGTTCGAGCTGAACTGATAAATGAGACCTGCAGCAAAAAAAAGAAATGGGTTTACAAGAAGTAATTTGAAATCCCAACAATGAGTCCTGAGTAATGAGACGATATCTAAAAAAATGAGTGTGTGTGCTTCAAACTAACCATTGATGAATCGAAGGCTTGACCCTGACAGAGTGTGTTTGTGCAGATAGTTCTCTCGGTCTGCTCTGGCCCCCTCTTGCTGAACTTTCCTCCAGCCTGACACAGCTCGAATGAACGCCAAATAGTCACTGTAGCCAGAGTCACTCAGAGCTTCTTTCACCTGGACAAATAAAACACAGATAAAACAAATTAGTACATGATATCATTACTGTGCTTTTTTTTTTTTATGGGCGGGTGTTAAATCAGCTCACCTTCAAAATTTGCGCTCTGTTCAGCAGGCTGTTGTAGAATGGGTCTCTGGTCAGACAGGCAGCTACTGACAGCATGGGCAGTGCGCATCTGTACATAACACCCAGAACCAGCAATTTGCCCAGACGAGGGTCACATGACATATACGAAACAGACTTTCCTAAAGGAGTCAGGTTTTCCATCTTGTCCAGGACTCCTAAAAAGGCAAACACTGACAGCTTAAGCCCACATTGAACATGTAAAGTCAGACACACACGATGATGATGATGACGCGAAAGCCTCCACACAGTCCAGAACATAAGTAGTTGTGAGTCACTCACCAATGTCTTCAAGATTTTGGACAGCAACTTTCACAGCTTCTAGCTCTGGACTGTCCAACACTTGAGATAGGAAATCTACAGTCTACACACAAAAAGAAATGACAAAGGCTATCATTTCATAGGTCGGAAATATACAAAAAAAAAAAAAACAGGCAAAAGAAATACAGGCATTGTTCACTTTCAATACCTTGCAGTTAGGACTGTGAATTTTGGCTTGCATTACTAAATTCTCTAGTGGGGTGCGCAGGATCTCAGGGATGGCGAAGTGAGCCATGGTCTCCAACTGCTTTCGTGGAAACAGGTGATAGGAATGTCCTGGCTGACAACGCCCTGCTCTGCCTTTTCTTTGAGTGACATTAGAACGAGATATCCAAACTGTGTCCAGACAGGAGACCTGGAAAACCAAAAACAACTGATTTGTGCCCTTTTTTTTTTTTTTAAACTAGATTCCATCAGAAAATACAACAGATCGCAGGCCATAGTTTTTTCAGATCTTTGCAGACAGTCTGACACTAACCTTAGTCAGTGGATCATAAGTCTGTTCTTTATGTGTTCCTGTATCCACCACATGGACTATGTCATCTATGGTGATTGAAGTCTCAGCAATGTTAGTTGCAAGAACAATCTTCCTCTGGCCCACTTGGGGGCGCTGGAACACCACCTGCTGGTCTTGTACTGATAAACTAGAGTGCACTGAAAGAAAACAACAAATAAAATCATAAATTGTATCTCTATACTTGAAGGAATAAGACCAGCCTTTGTAAATGTGTCTGTACTCTCTTACATGACAAGATAATTTGTGAGCCTGAGGAAAAGCGGGGCCTCTCCATGAGTTCCTCTTGAACAGCCCTGATGTCCTGCCATCCAGGGAGGAAACACAACACTGCACCTGCAAACATGAGGGGAAAGAATGTTTAACAAATATCATTCAGGTCCATCATCTTGCTTCATAAAAAAAAAAAAAAAAAAAAAAAAGATGAAAGGCAGACTGTTAGTTACCTGGCTCTCCATGTCGGTCAATGTGCTCGATTACGTCAGCTACTAATTTTAGATCTGTTGCAATATCGTGTCTTCTTCCCTTAAACAGGACACAATACAAATTCATGAGACAGGAAAGGAGACAGGAGAAAGGAAACATGAACCAAACTTGGATGAATCCGAAGGTAGTTAAACACAAATCTCCAGCCTCACCTTCTTTTCTGTCTCCATTGTCTGCCGGACTGGCAATTGGTGTCCTAGCTCTTTAAGCACATCCTCCAGGTATCTGTCCCTCACTGGGTGCATGAACCCAGGCACTTCTACCACTGGGCAGCCTCCAAAGTACTCAGCCAACCTCCGCTTGTCCCCAGTAGCACTCATAAGCACCACTCGTAGATTGGGGTTTTTCTCTAAGCTGGAGCGCAGCAGAGCCAGCAGCAGGTCTGTGTTAATGTCTCTCTCGTGAACCTCATCCACCACCACATGGCTGATTCCCTTCAGGGACGGGTTTGACTGCATTTTCCTAAGCAGGATGCCCACTGTGACGAAGAGCATGGTTCCTCCACTGTGCTCTGGTGCTTTGCTCTCAAGTCTGACCTACGAACAGAGAAGAATTACTTACTTTTTGTACTGAATTCATGTTCAGTATGGTTACCTTGGTTAAAATGGATCAATTTGATGTTACTAATTATAGTATTCTGAATTGTAATTAAGAATACGATTTTAATTAATTAATTTTCATCAAAAGGTACCATTCATTTTGTTGTTAAGTGTTCTGATATTTCTGTTTCTACCATAACCACAAATCACTATAGAATAGAAGGCGCTATATTGGCTACATTGCAATATAAACTGTTATTAGTAACAAAAACAGTATACCATAAAACTGTGTCTACCTGATATCCCACAGAGTGTTTTAGATCTGGACCCATCTCCTGAGCAACACGTTGGGCCACAGACACGGCACTGATCCGACGGGGCTGGGTAACCAGAATGTTGCACTCAGCCCCATTGCCACTTCTCACACACTCCTCCAGCAGGAAGCGGGGAATTCGGGTCGTTTTCCCACATCCTGTTTCGCCAGCGATCACAACCACCCTGGAGGACTGCACTGCTGAGACCACCTGCTGACGGTGGGCATCGGCT